ATTGGCACAGGATAGAGCACGGTTTAGGGCTGTTGTACATAGGGTCACTATGAGTTGCAAACGACTCGACAGCATGTAACAACAACAACAACAGCCACCTCTGCAATTACAGTGCAGCTTGCCACTAGGCCACCAAAGCTTCCTTAGGGCTCTTAAATTTTGCAGAGGAGTCTACTTCATCTTTGTCCTGTGGAGCAGCCGGTGGATTAAAACCTCAGATCACTTAGTTTGCAGCTGGGTACTTCATCTCTGGTTACCAGAACTCCCAGAATTACATAGGTGCCCTGTTACATGAGGACACACAAACATCACTATTTTTGGCACATATTTATTCCTTGCTATTTGAAGCTTATGCTACCAAGGACAGTAGTGATTTTACTGCACAAAGTATCTTTTACTGCTATAGCCATGTACTGTTTACTGATAAACCAGTGTGTGTTAGATGCTGCATATTTCATTTAGTCCTTGCTATAACTCTGAGCAAGTGACTCCGTCCTACATACTTTGAGCTTGTTAGGGGAGGCTATTCCTTAGAGGGACATCATGTTTGGAAAGATGGGAGGTGGTGAAAGAGAAGATCCTAAATGAGATGGATTGATACAGTGACTGCAGCAGTAGGCTCAAGTGTGTCAGAGACGATGAGGACGGCACAAGACAGGGTTTAAATCTATTGAGTCGTTGTGAGTCGACTGGACAGCACTTAACATATATGCATGAGGTTACTGGGCCTCAGAGAAGTTAAAGGGAAGCTAGGATTGGACACAGGTGACTCTGAAGCCCAAACATTTTTTGCATGTGTTTTCTCCTGGCGGTTCTTCCAAGTTTATCTGAAAGTTTCACTGAAACATCACATGCAAAAACCTCTACTAAAAGAAAAGTATTGGCTGTGCTTAAATACCATTGTCTGGGAATCAAACCAGAGTTTTCCACAAAGAAGATGTGGATTGTACGACATTTCATTGGGTCTATAAAATTGGTAAAACTGAAAAACAAGACAAAAAAAAACCCAAAAAACATGGGAAAGTATTAATGTTACCTGCAGTTTAGACATTAATAGTTCTCTGTACAGTTATGTAAAGCAGCAGAGAGCATCAAGATGGTGGATCAGGTGGTACCAAAGCAGGTATTTGCTCTTGTCCAGAGGGTGACGCTGCAGTAGATGTGTGGGTGACTGGGTTGTGTGGGCACTGTTGCTAGTTGGGAGAAACAAACACTAAACAAAACAAAAATGGACGGGGGGGGGGAACTGGGGAGGGACACAAAAGGGAAAAAAGACTTGAATGGCAAATGAAAAGAAACGAAAAAAGTTAACGGAAAGGAAGAAAACAATAGAAGAAAATGAAAAGGAAACGAAAGGGATGGGAAAATAATAAAAGGAAAAAACTGGGTGTAGGGGTGGGTACTCATTTGGTGCTCTTGACGCTATTGAGGCAGGTGGAAGGCAAGGGTCTGGATGGAGTTTCGACCAGCCTAGGGAGCTCTGGTGGCTCTTTGGTAAGGAATCGGTGCCAATGCAAATGTATGCGGTTCAAATCCACCAGCTGCTCCGAGGGAGAAAGATGGACAATCTATCTTCTCTCGCCTCTGCAAACCAGTAACACCAGTCCTTCCTATGGAGGGAAAGGAGGTGCTAAGACCGCCATAGAAATGAACCTCGTGGGGTGATGGAGTGACAGTTAACCACAGGGCAAGGAATGCGTCTCTGTCTTGGGGAAGTGACAGGCTCGCACCAACGAGGCTTCCGCTGCGCTCGGGTCGCAAACCACGAACAGGGAGGAGCGGGCACCGAGACAGACCTCCGAGTTGCCTAGAGAGGAACCGGAAGGGGCTTGTCCGCAAACCTGCCAGAGCCCGGCCTACATTCACTTCCGGTCCGCGGAGGGCAATGTCGTTCCGGATATCGTCGGGGATCCGCGGTTGAGAGCTGGGGCAGAACCTTGGTGGGCGCCGGGGTGGAAGGGGTGAGGGCGACTGGGACAGACGGTGGCTCCGCTCCGGGAAGGCCGCAGCGGCGGCGGGTCTGGGAAAGACTGCGCTTCGCTCTCCTCGTCCCTGGCTGCGGGCGGCAGGTTTCTCCGCAGCTGTCGCTCAGCGCAAGAGGCCCGAGGGCAGCATCGAGGGCCCGCGCCGCTGTGGGCACAGGTAGGAGCGATGCGCATCCTGTCTGGCAGGTGTTGGCTTATCAGGAACCGAAAGAAATCTTGAGCCACAGCAGAACTCTGCAGAATGAGAATAGTCACTTTACAGCAAGCTGCAGGGCACACATTTAAGGAATAACGATGGAGCGCCTATTTGTCAAGGGCCAGAGAGAAAAAAAATGATGACTTGGGGCCCTTAAATGCCTTCACAGACTCTAGTAGATGGAATACAGTTAAACATTTGCATTATAGTACGATACGTGCGGTAGTGGAGCGAAGTGTAGCTGCAAAGGCATGAAAGAAATTGTAAACTGATGTAGCAGAGAAAATACCCGATTGACGGTATAAAGTAGGCTGCTTGTTTGCAGTCCAGTTGGAACCGACCCATAGCTCATCCTCCAGCGGGTTTTCAGAGGCTGTAAATCACATGGGAGGAGATTGTCCATCCTCCTGTGTAGAAGCTGGTGCAATCGAATCGTGTGCTTTTGGGATTGCAGCACCTCTTCTTACATAGATAAATGCACAGACACCCAATAGGGTATTAAAAGAAGCCCTGACTCTGCCTCCTCCCCGTTGTTCATTTCCGCCCTTCAGAGAGTGATTGTTCTCATTTCTAGCAAGCATGGCCCTTCCATTTTGACTTCCGGATCCATCTCCCTGTCCCGTATCCAGTAAAGTCACATACTGTCAGTGCTATAGCATAATGTATGCCTCTTTTCCACCCCTCTCTTTGAATATACTGTTTTGTTTAACTATAATCATAAATTATAATTACCTGTATTTTCTATTTTGGGAGGCAGACCTTGGTCAGTCACAGAACCCCTTACACCCCCAAATGCTTTATGTCAAAAGGGAAGTTATTAGGTAACTTGGAGTCAGAATCTACTCACAGCTGACCTTCCAACAAGTTTTCACGAACTGTTAATTGCATGAGAGGAGATTGCCTATCTTTTTCCTGCAGAGCCATTGGTGGATTCAAACCACTTGCCTTTGGGTTGGCAGCACAATTCCTTACCATCTAAGCTGCTAGAGCCCCCCAGAGGGGAATTGTCTACTGTCCAGTTGGGACTTACTCATAGCTGACCCTGCAGTGGGTTTTCAGGGGCAGTTACTCATGAAGGAGTATCTGTCTCTGGCAAAGCACCTGGAGGACAGTGCAGTTCCTTACCATTAGGCCACCAGAGCTCCCTCTAAGGGGAGTACTACCATATAATACTGTCATAAGAATGAATATAACATGCTATCTAGAGGGGGAAACCTATAAAGTCCTAAATCAATTGATCAATTATGATTTCAGAATTATGTTATCGTAGATAGCATAAAGGGTGCTCTGGTGGCTTAGTGGTAAGGAGACGCTCCGCTAACCCAAAGTTAAGTGGTTCGGATCCATCAGTCGCTCCACAGGTAAAAGAGGGGCAACTCCTGTGCGATTTACTGCCTCTGAAAACCCAGTGGAGGGCTCAGCTATGAGTCAGTCTTGACCCAGTGGCTTACAACAACATAAAACCTAATAGCATATATGTTATTCTACATAACACAAAAAAATAGAATGGTTATGTTGTTATATATGCTGCTCTGTGCTTTGGTTTTGCTTTGCTTAAGCCCACCATGACATCCAAGCCATCAACAAGTCTGTTGGTTCCATCTCTGAAAGAGGCCTTTACTTTGCTTTGTGCCCCCACCCCCCAATCTAAGCCTCTGTCATTTGCTGCTTTGACCATTGTGAATATTGCTTCATTTGTTGCCCCTTCTAATCTGTTACCTTTTCACACAGGCAGTGATCTTTGTTTAACTGTACTTTACCAGTACAGTAATAAATGATAATGGAACCTGTATTTCTTACTATGACTTGGGCCCTACATAATCTCTTTCTTGACAGCTTCTCAAATATCTTCGGCAGCTCATCCTTTCCTTGCTTTGTGGAGCCACCCTAGCCTTTGACTTGCTCCCAGGTGGGCCAAGTACTCTCTAGACTCAGCTTTTGCTTGGCGTGCTCTTTGAATGATTGTCATCCTCTAGGTCTCAGCCCAAGTGTCATCCTTCAGAAAAGTCTTGTTCAAGTCTGTCATCCCCCATTATCAGAGCATCCTGTATACTTCCTTCTTAGAAAGTATCCCATCCATAATTTTATCTATTTGTTTACCCCACACACCTGTTTACTACACTAAGACACAAGTTTCAAGAGGACAGACACCCTTTCTATCTTGTATTTCAAGTTTCTCAGTGCCTGCCATATATATATTTCCTTTAATTTTGAAATCATAGAATTGAGAACTAACCTCATTATAAGATATATTCCCTAATTGTGTTATCTCTGCAAGGAGACCCTAAATTATTTGAATATAAGTTCAGTCTTACATATTTCAATAATCCTTCATCAAGTAAGTGCTTAGCAAATCCCTACCAAATTAAATTGACTATAACTTTCTATATAAATGTTGTTCATTTCTTTTTTTTAAACAATGACCTTCACAGAAGGTAGTTACCATGTTACTCAGTAGAATAGTCATTTCATGCAGAGACAAACTGGGGTGGGCTGACCCTTTATGTGTCTCATCTTCTCAAAGGGTCACCTATGCTGTTGCCTTTGTCTGGTTCCCCCCCCCCCCCCCCCCACAGACCCTCGGCTCCTGACAGGGAGTGAGAAGATGCTTAAGGAGCGCCCTGGGATGGCAGAAGAGCCTCAGCAACAAATGAGTGTTCCTGTGGTGAAGCTGGAGAAGGAGTTGCCATGGGGCAAAGCAAGGGAGGACGCGAGCCCTGAGACGTTCCGTCTGAGGTTCCGGCAGTTCCGCTACCAGGAGGCAGCCGGGCCCCAGGAAGCTCTCCGGGTCCTGCAGGAGCTCTGCCGCCAGTGGCTGCGGCCCGAGCTGCACACCAAGGAGCAGATCCTGGAGCTGCTGGTGCTGGAGCAGTTCCTGACCATCCTGCCCCCGGAGTTCTATGCCTGGATTCGGGAGCACTGTCCAGAGAGCAGCAAGACCCTGGTGGCCATGATGGAAGACATGACAGAGAGAGCCCTGGAGGCCAAGGCGGTGGGTGAGAAGGAGCCCTCAGGTTTTTGTCTTGCTGGCTTGGGAGGGGACATTTTTTAAAGAATCGGGAGAAGCTGTGGAAGCAGTGAGGCATATATTGCCCTCCTGTGCTCCCAGACTCTCAGAGGAGCTTTTTTGGAGGGCAGAGACGTTTTCAGCAAGAAAAGCCATTCCCAGGGAAGGTGTAGGGCATGGAAGTATATTTAGCTTCTTTTTTTTGGGGGGGGGTCCTCAGGGCAGAGACTCAGGTATATTTTCCTTGTGAACCTCAGACCCGAGGAAGGCAGTTAGAATTGCTTTCAAAGACCCTTGTAGACTCTTTGGGCAGAGATCCATATGGGAATGGAGGGAATCCCAGTGACTGGAAATCCCTTACTGTAAATACTCATGTTACATCCGTGTTGGGGAAGTCAGTGTATAGGGCTTATTTGGCTCAAAACAATTTGATGGCATTGTTCTGAGTGTAACAAGTTACTTTGGGCCAGAAATATTTCCTTGAGACTGTGGCTGTTTTCCTCACTGTCCTCTTCAGAGAAGGAAGAGGAGGAAGTGTTACTGTTTTGCTTGCAGATAACAGCCTCTATTTTCTTACGTAGTGCCCTGACTTTCTACATAATCTTAGAGCAGTCTTTTTTTAATATTTCGCATTCCAGGAGCTTAACAGTGGACCAGAAAGGTCTTTATGTATAAGAATATGTCTCTGGGAAAGATCTCCTGACTTCCTTGGTATTGTTACAGCAACTTTTCTTCACTAGCTAATTCACTGCAGAAATCCAGCTTTATAGCTTCCTTTCACGTTGGTACCTGGGATGTCCTCTCCTCCAGGAATGTGTGAACGTTCTCAGCAAGGCAATATTGAACTGTCTGTAGAATCTTCATTGTAGAATGTGATTGGTATCAAGGCAGAAGGAACCCCTGTGAAGCAGTGTAGACAAAAGTTGCTCATGGATTGATGTAAAGAGGCTCCAGCCAGCCTCCTTTTCCTGGACGTCTTCTGCCTGGTGTCCTGGGGAACACTGAACTGACTGCTCCTTTCTCACCTGTGCAGCTGGCTTGGTTCTTTGTTTTGATTATAATTTGATTCTCTTCATCACAGACTTCCCTGGGCCTCATTCTAATGGGTATTGGGAACTCTTCTTAGGTTCCATGCCACGTGCAGGGAGAGCAGGACGAGACGGCACTTTGCAGAAGCCCTTGGGAATCAGGTGTCCACCTGGGACCGGTGGAGGTCAAGCCCGAGTGGGGTTTGCCTCATGGGGAAGGAGTTCAAGGCCTCGATCAGAGCACAGAGAACCAACTGAGTCAGGGCCCTGGAGATGGGACGCCGGCTTTCCAGGAGCAGGGTAAGTGGCTCATGGTAGTGAGGTCGGGACACTGGAAACTGCTTTGCCCCCTCTGCTCTTTTAGAAACCTAACAATTGATAGATTGTTTATCATTTTGAGTTTTCCTAGCCCCTTATTCCACCTCAGTAGGAAAACAGATGAAGTGAAATTATTTTCTGTAACTTGACTCTGAATTCCTATAAGGAATATCTGAAATGTTCTCTTGTTCTTTTTTTTCTCTCTTCATTTCACTCACTGGCCTTCTCAAATCTAGCAGTAAATACACAGCTGCTTCATATAGGGCTGTTTTGTTAAGTGGGCCGATAAACCATATCCCTCAGAGTAACATGTGATCCAATTGTATCTCAAAGGAGTTCCTCCCAGGACATGATTTGGGAGCATGAACAGCCTTGAAGGAACAGGGCTCAGTGGTTTGGGGACATTCTTCATCTTCTCAGATGAGGTGCACCCGCAACACTGCATGTGGGCAAGCGTGGAACCAAAGTGATTGCTGAGTCAAGTCTCCGTAGGATTGAAGGACCTGACTACAAACTAGTTCTCATCTTTCTTTTCCTGCTCCCGTCTGCTCAGCTCTGCCTCTTCTTCATGCCGGGCCAGGCCTCCCCTCAGTGAACACCAGAGACCCAGAGATGACAGCTGGCTTCCTCACGGCTGGACCCCAGGTAAGCTGGAACTGCCCCTCCAGAGATCACCACGTTTTGAATGGAGTTCACCCTTCCTGAGTGTCTCCACACAACAAAGCTCCATCCACGTAGTTGACTTATTTTGCTTTTCTAGTTCTGATGAACATGACGGCTTCATTTTCTTCATTTTATTATCTCCAGTTTTTCATTTGCATAGAGCTTTGTGACGCACCCTAAGCCCCAGTTTAACATATTGGTCTTACTCTGTCATTGTAAGGAGGAAGATATCATGGGTACGAATCCTATAGGTGTGAGCTAGGCTCACATGATGGGTGACCAGGAGATAACCATTTGTGGGCACACTCTGTAGATGCTTCTATTATTGTATGACCTCTGGACATCCTCATCTCTCGTCCTCCCCATCTGTGTCATTGGGGATACAGCTGGCTCAGGGCTGCAGGCTCCCAGGAGCTCTGAGCAGAGGAGCCTGGTTTCTAGCCATAACACCAGGCATTTGGGCATTGTCGGCACTTGTTTGTCTGCCACAAATTCAGGCAAGGAGGGAAGACACGCTCATCAAGGTTTACATCTCTGCCATGAGATGCTACCCTGCCGTTAGGGAGGTAACTTAAGAGTTATCTGTGGGATAAATTGAGAGTTAGTACCCATTGATTACCAGTGAGTCTCCTTTCTAAAGGGCATGAGTCTTGAAGAGTTCCATGAAAAATAAAAAGTTCAGTTTGGTGCGAAATTTTTAAAAAGGGGAGGGGTGGGAATTATTATTGTGTTTTGTTTTTTTTTTAAAAAAAAGGGAAAATGAACCTACTTTGATTTGGTTAAAATAGCATTGGGTAAAGTTTGACGCAAGCACCAATTTCTGTTTCTGTTTTCCAAGTGTGTGTTTGGAAGAGGTGCAGAATTACATCAAGTGTTGTTTCATTTGGTCAGTTCCTCCCCTTCTCTCATAAAAGATCTTATTTACAGTGTTATGAATCAGAATGTATTTAATTGATCATGGCATTGTTTTTACGCTAGGATTAGCCCAGATGTCTCTTTACCCATAGTGAAAGTCAGATGTGGTTGGGGGCATACATAGCACCTCCCAGGCTCTGTCAGGCTTGAGGATTGAGTGGAGGAAATGAAAAGTGGAAACTCAGTATGATGGTAGTTAGGGGACGCAAATAAGTCATTTGTTTCTCTTACTAAATGCTGAGAGAAAGACAGTTCCAAGACCCTAGAGAAGATTGGCTACTCTTCCCTGGAGTGCCGTCCTGTGTATTCTCTCATCCACAGCAATCTCCCCTTATTTCAGGGTTTGGCACCGTTTAAAGACATGGCTCTGGCCTTCCCTGAGGAGGAGTGGAGGCACGTGACCCCGGCTCAGATTGACTGCTTTGGTGAATATGTAGAACCAGAAGTCTGTGGGGTCTCCTCTCCAGGTAAGACCATTAGCACCCCACAGAGAAGAAACAAGGATTTTTGTGAGTTGCCTTCAGGGTTCTTGCTCTCTCAGAGATGTCAGAAGCCAGTTCTGACAAAGGAAAGAAACTTCATAGTAATTAGAGTATCCCCATATGCAGGTACTATGTTTGTAGCTTTCTGTTAGAGGAGGGAAGTGGGCTGGGCTAATGTATCTGTCAGAATAGGCAGAGGATATGTGGAGGAGACACTAGGATATCAGTGGCAAAGGCTGATGTGGCCATTGTCACAGAGGAAGCAGAGCGAAGGCGATGCCTGCCTCAACCGGTGGCCAGATTTGTTGAGGGGTAGAGCCTAGGAAGATGCTCTTGTCTGCGACGTGAGCTCCCAGTATGAGCAGGAGCAAGAGAAAAAGGTGGGAGGGGAAAGTGCCCAGAGAAGTGCAGGGGGACGGCCCAGATGGGCCTCGCAGGATCTTGGTGACTGCCTCAGCGAAGAGCAACCAGGTAATGTGTGAGGTGAGTGGGAAGAACATTGGGGTGGGGGGGAGTAGAGTTTGAAATTACTCTTTTGCTCCTCTCTGATTTTCTTCTTTTTCCATTGTGAACCTATACTGACCTTCACCTCAACTTTTCAATTTGAAATGTTCCCAGGGATGAGAGAGGGTGTCACTGTAATTCTTTTAGTGCAAGAGTGAGTTGCACTCTCGGGAAACTCATTTTGCCTTTTTAAGTTTCAGCTTCCTGTGAAGACTGAGTGAAATAGACATCTAAACATTTGCAAAATCCGACAGTGCTAGGTTCTTTCACTGATTACAGTATAGTATTATCCCTTCATAAGTTAGTCAACATTCATTCATATATTCATCTAAAACTTTTATTTGGTATTTAATATGTGGCCAACATTCTGTTCATCACTGTGAAGAAAAGACTTTGTCTTGATTCAGCAATGAGCATTTTTGCCTTATTTGTCTTTTACTGTGTGTATGTATTTTCTGAATGATTTGCGATCAAGAGACACTTGATCTTTTGCCCCTAAACATTTTACTGTGCATCTCCTGACTCATTGATTCTCACCATACTCACTGTATCATTATTCTACCAAGTAAAATAGACTCCATAATACATAATATCTAGTACTTATCCAAAGGGACCCTGGTGGCATAGTGATTAAGCTCTTGACTGCCAACCAGTGGGTCTGTGGTTCAGACCCTCTGCACTTTGTAAAGAAGACCTGCTGATTTGGTTCTTTAAAGAGTCCAGCCCAGGAAGACCTCTGAGGAAGTTCTGCTCTGCCCTCCAAGTTGGAATTGACTTGATGCACCACATCAACAACAAGCATGCATGCTCTGTTTGCCCTCAGGTCCAGTGAAATTGAATTCATTTCAGATTTACTATTTGTAACATTTTAAAACTGGAAACTACCAAAGAGTTGGAAACAACCTAAGTGCCCATCAACAAACGAATGGATAGAGAAGCTCTGGTATATTCACACAATGGAATATTACGCTGCATTGAAAAACAAGGAACTCATGAAATATTATTAAAAATGGGTGACCCTGGAGGACATTATGCTGAGTGAAATATCTCGGTCACAAAAGGACAGATATTGCATAGTGCCACTGTTATAAAACGGGACTGACATCAGGGTTGTGTTGAGACTGAGAAAAACTGGCTAATATATGTATACTGCATTGAAACAGATGAGGGAGGGAACAGTTTAAAAGCAATATATTATTGGGTATTATTGGGGGAGGGGATTGTATACCAGTGAAAGAATTTTACTTATCAAAGAGAAGAGCAAACGGAGGGAGGGGAGAGGAGGGGGGCAGGGAGAACAGTGCAACAGTGAATGAATGGAAATCCAAAGTCTCTGTAAATGTTCATTAAAATTAATAAAATTTTAGGCGAGCTCTGGTGGCCTAGTGGCAAGAAGCTGCAACTACAGTCTCAGAGGTGCACGGTTCAAATCCACCAGATGCTCTGCTGGAGAAGGAGGAACAATCTCCTCCTGTACCAGTCAGATCTGATTTGACGGTACACACAAAAAATAATGAAATAAAATAATTTTTAAAAAATTAATAAAATGTGAAAAAAAAACCACCACCAACCCAAAACCTGGAAACTACCCAAATGAGCATCAGTCAAGTAAACAGACCATGACACGTTCTTGCAGCACTGTGTTGTGTATATGCCATTGAAAGAGGACAGGCTGCATCTGTATGCTTCAGCATCGGATGCGTCTTACCAGTACAATATCGATCAGAAGTAGCCAGAAACAATGTGAATCACTAACATGAGACAAGAACAGGCACAAGTACTTGATCATTTTAAGGTCAGAAGTGCTGCCCTTTGGGGCAGATATAGTGACCAGGAGGGCCTGGGAGAGGACTTCTGGGTGCTGGTAATGCTTTTCTTAACCTGGAAACTGTTGAGTTTTGATGACTTACAAGAAGGGACTCTGTATTTTAAACACTACTTACCATTTCACTCTCTTTCCTCCCTACTCCCTACTTGGCCTCTTTGCCTGCCAGTGCTTTCTTTGCCAATATTTTCCTTATTCATCTTTCTCCCCTTGTCCTAAAAACAACATTCTGTTAACTTGGAGAGAGTGTAGGAGAAATCAGAAGGCCCAGCAAAGGGTTGGTTGGGGCATTTCCATGGTATTCATGGGCATTTTCAGCCTAGTGAATATGCTTTTGGAGAGGCTGTATGGTACATGGATTTCTGTGACAAACAGGGCTTGTCATTCATCCAGCAGTTACTAAACATCTGTCTTGAGCCAGGCCCTGTGCCAGATTCCCCGGACACCCCATTATCGGTGGCTAGGTAGAGGGGGCAGTGTGAGCAGGGTGTGAACATGTTTGAAGATTATGGGATGCAGTCAGTAGTTCACCAGCACTGAAATAGCCAGGGAAGGCAGAACATGTAGATGAATGGAATTTAGCACAGCAAGGCCACGGAGAAACTAATTATAGACTAATTAAAGTGCTCATTGAGTTTAAGATCAAGACACCTCCGGGCAAGAGAATAACCCAGACAGTGTTTCTTGGAGGAAGTAATTGGGTTCTATTTTGAAGAAAAGAAAAGCCTGAGCCCATGTTAAGTAGAAAGGCCTAAAACTTGGCAACCTAGTCTGTAAAAAGTCATAGATCAGATGGAAGGAAGTCAAGTCCAGGCTTAAGGCTAGTGAAAGTGGAATTTGTTAAGGTTAATGAGTGGAAAGAAGAGAAGGAACTGTTAGTGCGGCACTCTCAGCAGTCCAGTGACCATTTTAATAATGCAGATTTGCTTTTGTAGCTTATTACAGAGTCTGTCACTGTCTCCTGTCTTCCTGTAGGCATCGGGAGAAAGGAGAAGGACATCAAAACCCAGCCAGAAGACATTAAAGGGCCGCTTGCCGGACTGACCTCAGAGAGGTTTGAGGAGGCCGTTCTCCAGGGCCCTGAGCTTGGAAGACCCTGTGACCAGGAGCCCAGTAGCTCCGTGGCTCACATGCCGGGACTTCCTGCACCCCAGCATGGTGTCATACCCTTGCCCGATGACCTCAAGACTCACAGCTCCTTCTGGAAGCCTTTCCAGTGCCCCGAGTGTGGGAAGGGCTTCAGCCGCAGCTCAAATCTTGTCCGACACCAGCGAACCCATGAGGAGGAGAAATCTTACGGCTGTGTGGAATGCGGGAAAGGTTTTACTCTCAGAGAGTACCTCATGAAGCACCAGAGAACCCACTTAGGCAAGAGACCTTATGTATGTAGCGAGTGTTGGAAAACCTTCAGCCAGAGACACCATCTCGAGGTGCACCAACGCAGTCACACCGGGGAGAAGCCCTACAAGTGCACCGACTGCTGGAAGAGCTTTAGTCGCAGGCAGCACCTGCAGGTGCACCGCAGGACGCACACGGGGGAGAAGCCCTACACCTGTGAGTGCGGCAAGAGCTTCAGCAGGAACGCCAACCTGGCGGTGCACCGGCGCGCACACACCGGGGAGAAGCCTTACGGCTGCCAGGTGTGTGGGAAGCGGTTCAGTAAGGGGGAGCGGCTGGTCCGACACCAGAGGATCCACACGGGCGAGAAACCCTACCACTGCCCCGCCTGTGGGAGAAGCTTCAACCAGAGGTCCATCCTCAACCGACACCAGAAAACCCAGCACCGCCAGGAAGCCCCCGGGGCCGTGAAGGCACCTTGCTGAAGTGCCTTCTTGCTGTTGGAAGGTGCTAGAGAAGACAGGTACCTAGCTAGCCATTAATCCGAGGGCAGCTTCGCCCATACCACTCGTCTTCACCCACCAAAGGGCTTGTGACAGGGAGTGATGATTCAGAAAGATGCTTAGACCCATTTTCTTCATGCCTGTTCTCAAATGTGGAAAGGGGCAGGACCTGGTTTATTTTGCTTCTGGAGAGCAGCTTCTCATACCTCACCGGGTGGTGCTAACAACTTTTCCTACTGAATCTTGAGGAAATCATTTCTTGAGTTTCAGCTCAGGTTGAAGGGTTTCTCTGGTGGAATGTTCCCACAGTGTCCTGAGGAAGTCCGGTGATAGAGGCAACGTTTTGTCACATGTTGGCAGTCTGAACCTCGATTTTTTGAGGGCTGTATCCTGCCTGGAAGATGACAAGCTCACACCTGCTCTGTTCCTCCCTCCCTTAGTCTTTTTCATTTAACAGGTATTTATTGGACACTTATGTTCCTCCACCGTTCATCTGTCGGGTTTTCTTGCTGTGATGCTGCAAGTTAACCGTGGAACTGGCTGGGCAAGGTTTCGTTCTGTTGCGCATTTGTTGCTGTGAGTCCATGCCCACTGGATGGCACCCAACAACAACGAATTGTGCTCCTGGAGCTGGGAATGCAGTGGTGACCCAAGCACACGGGGTGTATTCTCTGGGACCTTGTGCTTAGCAGTGGAAATAAACATGAAACCATCGTTAACACAGAGTGTCCTTGATTGTGCTGTGCTGAGCTCTCTGTGAGAGTGTATACTCCTCATGTCTGCTTAGTCTGCCCTGGCTGCAGGCCCTCTGCATGTGTGCTGGCCCTTCCCCTTATCAATTGACCTCTTTTCTCAAGTGGTCACCCTTGTGTTACTTTGCTGTTAGGTCTCTTTGAACATTCTGCCCTCTGCGAGATTTCCATGTCCCGTTATTTCTTGTACTTTCAACAAGAGCACAGTGACAACAACTGTCAACCATAACAACTGTCAATGAGAGTGTCAGTTCTTAGGAAATTCATAAATTGCACGGTCAACACAAAGGTACACAGTTCAAATCCATGAGCTGCTCCCTGGGAGAAAGACAGGCAGTCTCCACTCGTGTGATTTACTGTCTCTGAAAACCCCCTGGAGGATCAGCTGTGGGTTGGTTCTGATGCCATGATACCCAACAACATATTTAATAAAAGATTATTTCCTGGGTCCTTGATTTCTTCCACAAATAGATATTGAGGCCCTGTTATATGCCAGGAACTCTTTGAGGTGCTCAGGATACATTAGGGAGCAATGTAGAAATGGGGAATCCCTGCCCTTGTGGTGCTTACATTTTTGTGAATATGTTTGATCTTCAGAACCAGCCAAGATGAAACCTATGGACATGTCCATGAATCCACTAGGATTTGAGCTTGTATTCTTGGTTCTACTGGCTTCGTGCCTTGAACTCCATTTGCCTCAGACCTTTTATTACTGAATTGTCTTTGGTGCGTCAGGGACTCCAGAGATGTTGGCTAGCAGCCTGCTTTACATTAAGTGCCAATTCAGGAAAGATACCAGTGTCTGTAAGCATTTGATAGAAAAATATGAACACATATTAA